TTTTGATGTGGACTTGTGGATGAATCAGAATTGATCTGAACTGAAAGGAATTACAGGCCAAGGGGAAATAAGGAATCCATAGCAATCTAGTATTTAGGATGTGTTCATCCAGAAAGCTGAAGGTCGTGAACAAGTTGGATATTTTTGTACATATCAACATCACACAAGTCTCTCATATTCTCGTTTCTCTGTCTGTGAAGATTTGTGACAGTTCGAGACTCTCAATATTTTATCGTCAAAGCAAACAGGATGAAGACAGCTGCCAGCCTCACCACAATGGGATGTGGGACATGAGTGATTTTTGAAGAAGAAGAAACCACATATTTCACACATGGAACTTAATGGATAACTGGTTCCCAGTTCCTAATTCTAATTTAACGTAAATATTTTCATATGCTGTAATTGTAGAATGAAGGACTGCAGGCAAATCAAGTTTAAGGACAACAATGACACGCATTGGGGACGCTTCTTAAACTAACATTAAGAAAAACTAGCATCTAGCAACTGTTACTAGCAATTGTTTTCATGAGTGGATTCCTCTTGTGCTTCATGTGCTCCTATTTTTTTAAACAGCTGCTAGTACAAAAAAATGTCAATTAGAATACAACAATGCAACAAAGCTCATGCCGCAATGTTTGGCATATTAATATACAGTATAACTGGGTAATATGGGTGTAATAGACTTGTGATATGCATGTTGATTCCTCCCCCACACACGTCTATGACTAATAGCTGTCATACAGTGAATTTACAGCAAAGAATGATAAATTAAATTCATTTTAACTGAGCTAAATTTCTCAGTTAAAAGCCGAGCATTTTCTTATAGCTTTTCTGACTCATAATATTTGCTATTTTGCTCATTTTGTAATTTAATGACATAAAGCATTTACAAATAGAGCACTTAAGATTCCAAAGTTGATTTTTTTTTTTATATTTGACCCCTTAAGACGTCAATTGCAGTACAAGTTTGCAAGTCTTTGCAACTGATGTCACTTCATACGAAGTTGTTTTTTGCTTCTTCAAAGTGCCTTTTTTGCACAAAAGAGTCAACTGTTTGGTTTTACAAAGACAAACTGCAACGCATAACTGCATCACTCTGTGAACGTGCTTTTATTATGCTTCAGCAAACCAAGAGGCCTTCAGAGAATTCAAGCTAGTTTTTGTTTCCCTTTTCTTTGGTGTATCTTTCTACAGGCCTTCAATTTCAGTGATGCTGAAGAAAGAAAGAAAAAACATTGTGTCATATGTAATTTGATTTGAAAAACCACTTCCAAAAACTGAAAAAAATAAAATAAAATTTTGGGAATTAGGAGAATAATTGTTTTACATTTAAATTTATATGATCATAATACATTACAGTTTTTCTTCCCAATTTAGTATATATATATATATATATCTCCCTTTGTGAAGCATTACTTTTCCAACAAATGCCTTGCTTTTCAAACGAACTACAAAAAGATGCACACAAGGTCAAAAAATGTTAATGTTTTTATATGATCAATATTTATTTATATGGAAAATTACACTGTATTATAGATTTTTTTGAATAATTATTGAGCATTTGAATTCAACTTTAAGTGGAATGTTTAGCGTTTACAATTGTTTAAAAAAAGTGAGGGTAAATGATGACATTTTAGGTGGGATCAGTTATTGTGATCCATGTAGGACACTTATCATCTTTTTACAATTTCAATAAATGTAATTTTAGAATTATGATAGCAAGTAATAAACAGCTGACTAATAATTGTTGAATATTCTGTATATTCAGTTAAAACACTGTCTTTTCGAGAGATGCTCCCTTTGTGAAGCATTACTTTTCCAACAAATGCCTTGCTTTTCAAACGAACTACAAAAAGATGCACACAAGGTCAAAAAATGTTAATGTTTTTATATGATCAATATTTATTTATATGGAAAATTACACTGTATTATAGATTTTTTTGAATAATTATTGAGCATTTGAATTCAACTTTAAGTGGAATGTTTAGCGTTTACAATTGTTTAAAAAAAGTGAGGGTAAATGATGACATTTTAGGTGGGATCAGTTATTGTGATCCATGTAGGACACTTATCATCTTTTTACAAGATGTAAAATGACTGATTTCAATAAATGTAATTTTAGAATTATGATAGCAAGTAATAAACAGCTGACTAATAATTGTTGAATATTCTGTATATTTAGTTAAAACACTGTCTTTTCAAGAGATGCTACTTCTGTAAAATCTGTCTCTCTAATTCAATGACATGATCAGTGTGCGTTCCCATTAGGCTACTCTCTGCTCAATGTTGTCACACTGAGTAAACAAGCTTTAGCAATACATTGTAGACAGATTGTGTGCGTATACATGCCAAAATTACACAAAATCTAGTTTGTACTTGCGGCCATTTCACATATCCTAAGCTGGGGTTTTATTTAAAAAATGAGAATTTAAGTCATTTAAAATTGTGATTAAAGAGATCTTGGTTATAATGTTGTTTAAATGTGCAGTTATCAGCATTGCTGTCCATTCCTCTTAAACAATGCATGCATTTCCTGTGATCTGTTGGGCGCTAAAGCACACAAAGAAAGTAGGTGTTATTATATTACAAATGATGTACAGCAATATTGTTGTTTCAAAAGAAAATACCACAATCACAAAAATAAGCGAGTCTTACCCATAGGGCCAACAAGCATGTGCACTTTCTTGAAAACACATCATGACTATTTTTAATATATCCCGGGAATTATTACAGTGCTTTTTGTATAACAGGTTAAGTACATTTTAAATGACATATTTTGGTCTAACAAACACCTAATACCTCTCATTCAAAGTAGTGGGATTGCATTGCTGGCAGATTCTACACAGAAACTTACCCAGAACTAGAAAACCTGCACACTTTATACCTCATACAACATTCAACAGAAATGACTGAGCTTTCAGCACATGAGCCTGCAATCACCACTGCACATTTCAACTGCTGATGACTTAGAATATACATACAAATGGGCTGATGGGAAGTGAAGTAAACTGTCAGCGTTACATGGGTATGGAGATGAAAATGTGTGGGGTTTTATATTTCACAACAAATAAATTACATGTTTTTTCTTTTCCTGTAAGTGAAAATGTATCATAACTAATACTGTAGAATAAGCAATGGATTTAGATGTAATACATGAAATGTTGCTTTATTGAAGATGTTTTTTTTTTTAATGGAGGAGTATGATATAATTCATGTCACCTCACGCAAACTATATGTGGAAACTTTGTTTCTGGTTTTAAACTAACATATGACAGAAAACAAGAATACTAATAATACAGTGGTTTGACAGACTTGTAATGGCTAGATTCATTTGAATGTTCTAGATGGTGTTAATTGCAGCTAAACTTACTGGCTTTTTATGTTTTTCTTTGTGCATATTTTATGTCACTGATTGTGATGTGAAATGATTTTTTGTTGGATGTATGTATGGTAAATCTTTTTGCACATTATAGACTATTCATTTTGAAACAGCATTAAATGTTTTTGACAAGTGAAGATGAAGTTGAACTTTTCTAATAATAATCCATTTGTATTAGGACACAATATATTAAAGGCAGTAAAAATGCAGATGTTAAAAACATATTAATGTGTCTTTAAGATGATTATGTAAGTTTATAAATAATGTCAAGTTTGTGGAAAAATACAGTAAGAGTAGGTGAACCTGCTTACAAAAAAAATAAAATATAATAAAAAAATCTAAATTTCAAATCAAAATGTCATTACCAAGGCCATTAAGATTACTGCTGCACATTTACATATATACCATAATAATACAACGTCACAAAGCACATAATAAAAATAAATTTACTCCATACATTTAACATTCAACAAAGCTAATACTCATCTGAATACGTTAAGGCAGGTTGGTGAATGTAGCAACAATGCTTACAATCAAGACAACAAAAGTTATCTGAATGGGTAACATTTTCACAAGCTGAAAAAGACAATATACAACACAACTTCAAAAACAATTAGAGAATAAATACATTTGAGCTGTAACCATATGTCAGAAAGTTCAGTCCTTTTTTTTTGTAATTGAATGCTTTCGAATTTATGGTCCCGAATTAATATTCTAATGAACAATTCTTTTCACCTATCAAAATATATCAATACTAATGTGTGACTCCAAATCAGTAATATGTTAGAATTATTATTCCTGAAAATAGGTAATTTATGAATTTATATTTATAATTAAAACACCAAATAACAAAGCACAAATGTGGGCAAACATATTACTTCAAGTAAAATATATACAGCAATTAATTTACAAATACATTTAGCAACAATAAAACAGGATAACATTTCTACCAAGCAAGAAACATTACAGTCTAGTGCTCCAGATGTGTGCACTGCAAAATGATTCTTAAATAGGCCATTTTCAAAACAGTATTATTCATTATAATAGTCATAACTACTCAAAATACTCATATCAATATGAATAATCATCTTTAACATTTGTATTTACTTTGTAAGTACTCTTTGTACCAAGACTGATTGTGCTTTCATGTATTTTCCAATAAAACATTTAGATTATCAATAAATCATAATGATTTATTTAATTGAAACATTTAAACATGGTTTATAATGAAAAAAATATCTTGAAAATACCTGTTATTCAAGAGAAATACTTTGTACACCCTGTATAAATATTATATTTCTTTATACATACAGGGCCAGTGCACTGTGCAATATGTTGCCTTGAAACACGATATACAAAATAAATTATTATGAATATGCATTTATGAATATGAAAATACTATTAATTGTTAGCTATTATTTGTGGAGAATCCAAAATGAGGTCTCTGTTTACTGTAAGGCAATTAGCTGTGTTCAACATAATATACATCTATGCAATCTCAACTTTCAAGCCAAGCAGACAATATGCCTCAACTGACAAACTACGGAGTGATAAATACAAATGACAGAGAAATCAGTTTTATGATCATCGTTTCCTAAAGAAGGCAAGCTGCTCTTTTGGGGGTGAACTGTCCCTTTAATTTGGTCTGTAAATAGTCAGTGCATCTCATTTAAATTAGTAGAGGAAACTAAACAACATGTTTTGTGCTTCTGCATTATGCAAAAATAGAGAGTATTCTCTTATCAGCATCAAGCAACAAGAAAGCTTGTTTCAGTAATGTGTGAGAGGAAGGGAAACAGGGAATGAGATGAAATACAGTATAAAGCTTGATTTCAGATGGATGACACACTGTTGTGGGACTCAGTTAAGGGCAGCTCCTTAGGGCTGGACTTCTCTAAAACTGAGATTTGTGTGACTGTGCTGCTCTCAGTAAAGAGGGTTCGTCTTCTCTTACTGTATCTCAAATAATTTTGTGTCTGCCACTTCCACAGTCTCTTCTTCAGTTCTGCTTGGACCTGAAAACACAAACAAATGTATGTGCATGTTTGAAAGCAGTATGTATTTCCTGTTTTACACATACACTACCAGTCAAAAGTTTAGATTAGATTTTGTAATGTTTTTGAAAGAAGTCTCTTATGCTCACCAAGGCTGCATTTGTTTGATGAAAAATAGTGTAAAACAGTATTATTGAGAAATACTATTACAATTTAAAAGAACTGTTTTCTATTTTAATACATTTTAAAATGTAATTTCTTCCTGTGATGGCAACGCTGATTATTCCAGTCTTCACACTGTCTTAATAAACTGCAACTGTAACTGAAGTATAACAGAATTATTTCAGAAACATTATACAAATCTTAATTATTCCAAACTTTTGACCATTAGATTATTTATTTACTATTAGGAAACACTTGTGGCTTACCTCTCCATTGAGAAAACAGTATAATAGAGCCACAACAAAACCCTGAGATGTACAGAAACACAGTATAACAGTCAGTCAACTCTGGGTGCATTAACAATTACAGTACAGCTCAATTCACTAAAACATATGCAGCTATTAGTTGACATATATACATTACAGACATATATTATACATTTACTCAATGTGTAGTATATTTACATATTTAACATATATATGACACAAATGATCATTTATAGTGTGATATCACAAAACATTGCACATCAGACAATTCCACAATTGATGAGCATTAGTATTCTGTGAATTTCATAGATGCTGGGCAGTACACACCTGAAAGGGACCCAGGCCGAGTTCAAGAAAGTGGCGAGCGTTTTCTCCTGTGTTCTCTGGCAGGAAGGCAAAAACCATGTAGTGCATGCCAAACAGAGGAATCAAGAAAAGGGTAGACTTGGCCAGTCTCCTACAAGTATACATAAAGTTCAGCATTAATTCAGATTAATAACAAACAATGAAAGTACATTTTGGAGGGAGTTTTTTCATGAGGGACTAATGAGCAACTGCAATGGCTGTAAATTAATGCAGCCTAAAAACAGCATGCTGCATGTGGGAGTAAACAAATAAAACGTAAAAAAAAAAAAAATTTTGACATGGCAATAATACATTACTTCAGTAGCATGTGCGCCAGTCTTCAAGTATTTGCCAATTGTCTATGAATCAAACATTTTTATATTATTTACTGCCTTTGTTTTGAGTATGCTTTTTATTCCTTACATGAAGTGGTTGGTATCACTGCCACCCATTCCTGGAGTCTTCAGCTTCTGCACAAGAATCCGGATCACATTTATGAAGATGAAGAAATTCATCTATAGATCAAAAAATTTAAAAGAATGTGACTCTGTATAATCAATGAAGGAAAAAGCTAATATACTGTACACTACACATCAATTTACTGTGTGTTCAAATATTCAGAACGAAACAATTAAAATGACTAGGGCAAAATAAAAATGCAAGTATTTAACAGCATTACATACTGCATTTCATTACTTTTTAGCTTTACTTTCAGATGTTAGAAAATGTCATTTTGATTTTGCACAATTCTGGCACATGAAAAAAATAATTCATGATACTGTATTCTACTGCAACCAGCATTTTCCATTATTTTCCAGATGTGGTCTTATATACTTGATTAAATCAGCTGTATTTTACCAGCAGAGACACTGTGATGGGTCCTTTGATAATCCACCAAAAGTAAGCAACATCTGTGTCATCCCAGCACCTGCAACATTCACATGAGCTTATGATTATTTATAAGAAGACCAGCAACTGCACTTTCGCAAACAGCACTGAAATGTATTTTTCAGTATTTATCACTATAAATCAAATATCAGTATCACACATTAGTTTAAAGGGTTTAGATCAATCTGGACTTACCCTCTGTTATCAGAACAATTCCTTGCTAGAACCCAGATGGTCAGTATTAGTGTTGGTAGACCTACAGGATACAGACAGCCAAACTAAATGAATACAATTTCATCAAACTGTAAAGCATGTTTGTTACTATGCTGACACAGAATCAAGAAAAGGTTTCATGTATTCATATCTAATACTGAGATTTCCTATAAAAATCCATGTTTAGGGGGGGAAAAAAGTTCATTTTTCATCTCATGCCTACAGGTGTCACCAATGGAACATAATATAGAAGGCCACGATTACCCAAACTTTTGAATGGTAGAAAAAAAGATTTCACAATATTACTATATTTATGTAAAAAAAAAATCATAATTATTCAAAACTTTTGACCATAATTTTAGTATAAATTAGTAATATTTCATCACATTATATATTATATAACAATATGTTCCCAAGTATCTTCTATAGTACCTACACTTACCCCAGCCAATAAGTATGTACCACCAGTAATACTTCTTTTGTGAGACAAAAGTTAGAGCTAGAAGAGTCTGTAGATACATCCCCTCAACCAGCAGCCAGAAGTAGTTAGCCAGGATACTGAACTGAAAGAAAGCCACCGCTGCCTTGCAAGAGGTCTGAAGAGGAAAACATTCAGAATTCAGTATTAGTGCTATAATTGCTCTGTCAAGATGTACTGTATGTTCTTAGACAGTATGCGCACTTTTATATATTCTGTTTAAAGATATGTATTCTGAGTGGCAATTGCCACAGCATGTAGCAAATTTTAAGACCTACGCATTGCAAATGAAAGTATGATATTGTTGCAGTGCTCAGACATTTAATTTTAAGGTAGATTAATTAATAGTGCTGATAAGAACCAGCACAAATACCATCACAGAGAAGTGGAAAGAAGAGTGTTAGCTATGTAAGAAGTGTTTTTTATATTTCAAAGAAGGTGTTTGTGAGTTCTAGCGGAAGCAGATCTTCAAAAGTGTGCCTTTAAGGCACAGATGAGTCGGCTGATACTGACAGGGGTGGAAGAGAGGATGCAGAAAATGTGAAGCTAGTGTCACTCTGCTGACAGAAACTGGTGTAAAGCTTAGAAATGTCTTTGCTGTTCCAGATAGATGCTGTAGCATCATACATTGTGACCTAATACGTTCACTGAGCACAAGACTGATTGGGAACATGAGCTTTGGCATGTTGAATAGCATGCATTAGCTTATCCGTTGGATTGACGTCTATAAAAAAACAAATTATGCATGAGCCTGTGACAGCTGGCGAGTCTCACTGTTGACATGAAGCAGTGGTCCAGATTCTCATCGGCAAAGAGAACTGCATCTTTGATGAAGATCGCACTGGCTCGCAGGATGAAGGAGGCAAAGAGATTGATGTGAATGTAGTTTCTTGTGCAGTGGAACTTCCTGTTTTGGGCAGAGTAAAATGATTCAACTGATGATGCCAAATGATTCAACAAATTGTCACAAACCTCTCAGTGATTCATTTATAAAATGTGTTTGTTTGCATGAGCTTTGTGAGGATTCTCGATGTACCTGAAGGCTTTAAACACAAAGATGGCAAAGATGAGGGAAATCAGAGAGGTAGCGTAACCCGCAGTGTACACCTGCCTGAAAGTGGAGTAATATGTGGTCTGGAACATAGGAAGAAAATGAAAGAAGAAAAAAAAGAAAAAGTTATAGAATTATTTCCAGGGAAATATCAATCTTTTATAAAGAGATATTACAGAGAAACAGCAAGTCTTTTTCAATTTGATTTGTGCACTTCAACACATTTTTTGTTGTTCTTAAGGCTTATTCTTGACACACAAAATTTCTGTGTAGTTGTTCATAAATCTATTCTTAAATAGATTTTAAGAATAGATCAAGTTTTCCTTTCTCTTTGGAGTGTTACAAGCTCTTGGTGCATAAAGAAGATCTGTAAAGTTGCAAAGACTAAAGTCTCAAATCCAAAGAGATATTCTTTATAAAAGTTAAGAGTCAGCCACGCCTACTTAAAACGGCTCGTTCTAACACGCCCCCACATATCTACGTCACTATGTGGAAATATTAGCATAATGCAGCCCAAATGTGCACGCAAAGAAAGAAGGCGTGGTTTCAGGAACAGCAGTCGTTTTGATGCAGCCATGTTAGGGAGACGCTGTGTTTCAGTGCGAAAGCAAAACAGCTGGCCAATCAGAGCAGACTGCGCTTGTCAAAGGAGGGGGCTTTGTTGAAAATGATGCGTTTGAGAGAGGCGGGGCATAGAGGACCTACAATAATGTACAGTATTTGAAAAATAATGTGTTTTTTGAACATTAAAGCATGTCAACATATTCTGTTACACCAAATACACAAAATAATGATCTTTAAAATAGCATCATATGACCCCTTTAAATAAACTGTCCCATTGAACTGAATGTGAAAGTTTGATTTTGCGAACAAGCTATACAGAAATTTATTTTGCTTGTTGTTGCACAACGGTGCTTTGACTTGATGCAATAATCTTACATTAAAAATGCTGCAAAAAAAAAAAAAAAAAACTTTTATCCACAGGCTTTCTGGATCTTTGGTTCTTAATCTTAATAATTCTAAACCTGCAGAGTTCAGAGTTCATGTATGAGAGTATAAGGCTGGATGGAGACAAGAACAATCTCACCATAAGGTCTGAAATATCATGGATCTTATAACAGATTTTTTTATTTTAACCAATGATAAGTGTGCAGCAAAATAAATAAAACATTTATGATGAAATACCATTTCTTCATTCCGTTGTTTGTTATTTGTACCACAACCTCTAGTGCAGTAAATGAGAAATGCCCAAAACCAAACAAATATAAATAGTCATGTTGAAAAAAGTTGTAGAAAATAATAAAAATGTATAAAAATGTGAAATATATTGTTATTATTTTAAATGACCACAACCTCTAGTGCAGTAAATGAGAAATGCCCAAAACCAAACAAATATAAATAGTCATGTTGAAAAAAAGTTGTAGAAAATAATAAAAATGTATAAAAATGTGAAATATATTGTTATTATTTTAAATTATTTATTAATGGAAAAAATGGTAACTTTAATAAATTGGGTACGCCAATAGAGGCCATTTTAATGTCACCTGGTGAACCGCATGCAAAGGATTTAGGGATAATGTAGGCAACGAATGACTGCTTACAATGCAAAAATGTCTGTTAATAGACAGGATGAAATGCAAACATTAGATTCAGAGATCCCTATGATGCGTTCCAACCTCTACATCAGGGATCCTCAAATCTGGCTCACTAGATCCACTTTCCTGCAGAGTTTAGCTCTAACGCTAATCAAACACACCTGAGCATGCTAATCAATGACTACGTTTACATGGACATTAGTAATCTAATTATTTACCTTATTCTAAATAAGACAATATTATGATTATGGTGTTTACATGAGCTGCTTTTAGAATATTCCTTTCATGTTCCCGTTTTACATGTTATAGTACATAGTTCGATTAATGGCACTCGTCATTACGTCCCGACGTGACGCCATCCGACGTCCCCTCCGGAATTTCACGCATAAACATATAGTTCGTCTTCGTGATGATGCCATGTACAGTTTTGGGTGTTTCATTTTTAATTTTATGAAAGCTTCAAGTGCAGTTAATTATTTGTACGTGCATACAGACGATGGCGGTGTTGAAGCTCTTTTATTTGCCGTCAAACGGTTGACCACTGCCGTGTGTGTATCCTGTCGCAAAATGCGGCGAAAAGTCCTACATGACGGTAATAATGTGATTAAGGTGTTTACATGTCTATTCTGCACTTCAGTAATGAGACTAAAATAGGAATACTCCACATGTCTTAATTCGATTTCTGTTTACTTCGATTATGACTTAATCAAACGTTAATCAAAAATCTCTGTTTACATGGTAGATTCTTAATCAGAGTATTGTCTTAATCGTATTAAAATCGGAGTATTGTTGTCTATATAAACATACTCAATGTCTTCAGGATCATTAGAAAATCACAGGTAGGTGACTTTGATCAGGGTTGGAGCTAAACTCTGCAGCGCATTGGCCCTCCAGGGCAAGATTTGAGGAACCCTGCTCTACATCCTGCATTTTTCGGACATAGCTGTTATTAAAAGCAGGTCATCTTGTTCTGGGATTACAGCAACTAACTATATTTCAGGTGCATATTTAACCCCATTGCTACCTCCCCTGATGCAGGCTCAGGTGAAAGTCATTATGAAAATAGAATTTAAGTGGTAGAGATTAAATTTAGCACTCAGGAGAGAGTATTATGTTCTTGTATGACTGATTCAACTACTGGTAAATGGCTTGTTCACATTAGGAACACACTCATCTATTAACCTTGGACTGCTTGTTTGCGTGTGTGTACAGAACATTATCATATTATCTCTCATTTTTCATTCAAAGTACTGTCTCTATTCTCATTACCATTTGACTGCAGTCCTCTGCCACAAAAAAACAAAACAAAAACAAAGATAATATAAGGGAACTGCCTGACAGAAGAAAGGTTATTTACGCTTTAAATGCAGTAGCTATTTTTATTGGCAATAACAATTTGCTCCCAGCAACACTTAAGAAAAGTAACACTTACACACTTAAAAAGCAAGATATATTTTCAAAGAAAATGAACTAAGTACAAAAGAGATCAACAAATGAGCTTGACCATAAACGTTTGTGGCAGATTGTGGGCCTGACAGTGGACAAAGGAAGCACCAGTGCAAAGTCCCTCTGGACAGTGTTTAAAAAGTTGAGAAATGCTCAACTTCATGTAAATAAGAGACAAAAAAAAAAAACAGGTCGTCAGCTTTGAGGTGAAGGGAGCTGGTCAGGATGTTGGGGTACACATGAAAATGAGGGTAAAATAAGTCTCTCTCAGCAAACCAAACCCAAAAGTGTCTCCATTTGCATTTGTTTTACAACATTTGTTTTGTATTTCTACTCAAAAAAACAAACAAAACAACAAAAAAACACTTCAAGTACAAATATAAAGTGAACAGCTAGTAGGCCATAAGATTCTCTGAGGATGTGTACAGTATTGCATGTAGTGAAGTTTTCACCTCGGTTTCCGATTCCACATCCTCCACAATCTCACAAGCATTCTCATAGGATGGGTAGACTTTGGTCCAGCCACTCTTGGTGCAATTCCTAATTATGAAACCTGTATTAAAATAATGTTTAACATAATGATCAGCATGCAACGTTTTATAGGCTACATTTTGACACATCATTTTGCAAAGAGACTAAAACACCAGATAGCAACAGCTGCTCATTACATTGCCTGTAACAGATACATCTAGTACTTTTCTTTGTAATTAGTCACAAAAATTAAACAGATGTTTAATTTGTTCTAGATTTTATGCCACATTGTAAAATGCTCTATGAAGCTACTGTTTAAGTTCAATAACTTCAAATCTTAGTTACTAGTTACTTTCTGCTACAGTAATGCACAGGTCCTTCCTCTCAGTAACATTTAACGGTAATGGGATTATGTTTTTATTAGTCTGCTTATGCCTTTTGTTACATTTCGTGAAATATAGCTGGTATGTGGATGGAGAACACAGATACATCAAACCAATCAGCTTTTTCATATATGCTTTTTATAAGTTTTTATATGCTTTCTCCAGCATGGGGCTTACTGTATGTCATACACATCACAGTATAATGAGATTGTGCCCCAGTCAATGGTGACAAAGAAATAGACAGACACAGAAAGAGTACGTGAAATTGAAATAGGAATCTGAATTGTGCTCTTTTTTTTCTATGAAACACAAGCTAGAGAGGTTTTCGTTGAAAAGGAAAAACAAGTAACAAAAGTTCGAAACATTGATTAATTCAGCAACATAACAAGTGGCTGTCTTTGTAAGTTTGTAAATCTTTGTAAATCATTCACCAAACCGATTCGTTCAAAAATGCTGATTCATTCAGGAACGAAACAATTACTGTGTGTTGCTCAGTACTTTTTCAAATAAAACAACCTGTTTCTCAAGTTACTCAATATTACTTAATATATTGTTCTTAAAATAAGCATCATCACATTCTATTAAAACAGGAGTTGAAGTATTGAGGCCACCTGCCACTCAGGGACACATTAAAACTTGGTCAATTTGATAAATCTGATTCTGCCGAGTCTGTGTACAAGTGGGTTATGTCAGTGTTTACGTTGTAGAAATGCCCAGTCATCCATGATTAATTTGTTCTGTGAGTACAGTGTCCAATTACAAAGTGGTTACTGAGATAAAGTGAGACTAAGTGTAGGCTCATAGGGTCAGCCCAATGAGGTGATTACTAATAGAGTATGTGAGCATTCATTATTATACATATATATATATATATTTCTTTTCATAATTTATACACCCCCATAATTTATAGACCCCCAAAAGTAATCGAAACCTTTTGGTTTTTGCTCATTTATTCAGAAAATATTTAGCCTTTTTAAATTTTTAACCTGCAAGGTATTTTATGAAGTGTGTTGTATTTTATCTGTAAATACAATTCAACATAGTACTTTTTTATATAATTAGCATTTATTTCTATTAAAAATGTAGAGAAACTACATGAGGAAGACTCCAAGGGAAAAGATTGAAGTACACTTTGTGTCACGTCTGTCTAGGTTTTTCTTCATGTCTCATGATTTAATTTCAGGTACAGTATCTAGCCATGTCTTTACTTTGGTTTCAGTCATGTATTGTTTCCTGTTTCATGTTTTGACATTTTTGTTTATGTCATGAGGTTACCCAATAGTCTTGTGCCCTCATGTTTACCATGTTTCCTTGTCATGTATTGAAGTATGTTAAGCTGTCCCATGTTATTGTCAATATTTTGTTTCACATCTAGAATTTAGCTCATATGCATGTTTCTTAAATCTGTATCATTGTAAATAAACTGCACTTGGGTGCTCTATGCCTTCGTCAACATCTGCTTCCCGCTAACTTAATTTCACTATGCTTCTAAAACTCCTAAATTAAAAATATGATATTAATATGATAAACATCAAATTTTAAATCTAGTCACTCTTAAAAATGTTTAGCAAGAAAAAAGCAAATGATGAGGAATGATAGAAAAACTAGCCTAAAAATAAGCTCATACTTCTGAATACATTTGCATGGCGTACTTCATTTGGACGATGCCTTAGTTAACTATGTAATGCTTGATAGCACAGCTAACCTATAACCTCCTGTCTTCTCACCTACACTTATCTTGGCCATTCTGAAGGCCTGCTAAGTGGGTGGTTCAGTGCTAGCTTTCCAGTGGGAGTTCATTCCACCCGCTGTTTCTAGCATTACCATAAAGCGGAGTTCATCATGTACCGTAAGTCTATCTCCCTGAAGCCACAGTGGGGGAAGACAGAGTAGTGAGGACCTGACCACTGCTGCTTTCTGTGCTGGAGATGTCAGGCATTGGCCTAGGGGGATTGAAGAGATGGAACAACCAGTGCTAACAGCCACTGCTATAATGCCTAATTTAACCTGCTTTGATTTTTAATATTTGTATTATTTCCTTGACACATTTTCAGCAAGATTTGGAAGAGAGCGATGTAGATATCTGCCGGTCCATTGTGTACTTGCGTATTCATAGAGGTGTGTGGGGGGATGGAAGAACAGCACGGTGCAGATAGCAGTTTTTGTCATGAGTGTGTTGATTTTTCTTAGCCTCCACAACCTTTCTATTGATTTCTAAAAAGCCCTGGAGCAGATATGCCGGGTTATGATTTTTAAGTGTTTTTCAATGCCAATCTGTGTAACTTATGTCTGTCTCCTATTTCCTATGGTGGACTGAAAAAAAAAAGAAAAAACCTCAAATTTGTTACAGCCAAATTTTTGATTGCACATAGAGAAATACATTCATTGAGAGTAAAGAAATAAAGTTTAGAAACACAATTTTATAAATCACAAATAATATAATTTGAGTAAATTAATGAGTTTTCCCATTTTTTCAGTGTACCATACTTAAAATATTTTCTCCACGCATGAGCCAAAATGTTACTTAATGTGGGTAAATTTTTTTTTAAATCACTGTAAACAAAAGCTAAATAAGTTATATGAAAACCAAATTTTCTCTTAAGATAAAACTAAAAATCTTTTAATGTCAGTCAATGTTTCATTTCGTTTACTTACTAAAAATAATGACAACTTCAACAAAATAGGCATCATATTTTGTTATGAATAAATACAAATAAAATAAACACCAGAAAAATTAATAAAACCCACAATCATTTGTGTTCCACACATCAACACTCTCAAAATGCTATTTAAACAAAGAGTTTCTTTAAAAAAAATTTTCTATGGTGAGTGTTATTTGTTTTTAGAAAAACAAAACTGTTTAAACTATAATTTTATATTAGACAAATATAAAAATACACTTTAAATAAATGTCACAGTCATTTCATACAACACAATAAAGTTAAAAATGACAACTTTATTGTCCTCAGCTCTGCCTACCATGAAATCTCATTGGCCCAAAATCCTGCTCTTCATAACTAAAATAACCCATCCAACATATTGGGAATAGTGGTGACTGTCACATCGTACAGCAGTTTTGCATTCAGAATGGTAAAATTGCTTAAAATTTCTCATCTTGTGACCGATTAGGTCCTCTGACATGTAACATACAGTAGGTTAAGAATTGTAATCTGTAAAATTTGCTACCAATTTCCTGCAGACAACATTTAAAAGCCATCATAAGTGCAATTTTCTTGCTCACATATTAGAAAAACTTTGAGAAATAAAAATAATATCTACTCAACCTGTGAAAACGTCTCGGTTACGTATGGTAACCCTCGTTCCCTGAAGGAGGGAACGGAGACGTCACGTCAGATGACCGACGAATTGGGATCTCGCTTAGAGAGACCAATCTACTTCGAGTGAAGCGATATCCAAATTCGTCGGTCACGACGTGACGTCTCCGTTCCCTCCTTCAGGGAATGAGGGTTACAATACGTAACCGAGACGTTCCCTTTCAGTCGGTCACTCTCTACGTCACGTCGGATGACCGAGGAATTGGGATCCTACCAAAAGGCCACAGCTACACAAGAGGACCAGCTACTGCTACTATGGCACTACCCAGTGAGTAAGACTGGATAACACTGGGAAACGTACCCGTTCTACTTGGAACCTTCCCGAAGGAGGTTTCGGAAGCAATACACATATGAACATGGTCTCTCTAAGCGAGATCCCAATTCGTCGGTCATCCGACATGACGTCGAGAGTGACCGACTGAAAGGGAACAAATACACTCAGTTTCCCTTAGCAACTATTAACAGAGTTTATGATATCCGGATTTTCAGAGCTCTAGCTATGAATTTACAGAGCACTCATGATGTCTCTCTGTGTGTGTTTGCCTTGGCACTTTTATTGCCCTGGGTTGGTGTGTCAGAAAAGACTGTTAAAGGGGTCATATGATTATGACCCCTTTAAACAGTTTGTGTCTCCAATCGCTGTGCCTGAGTGCACGCAAGAGACCAACCAAAGGGTGTGATCTGGCATTGAATGTGCTGTAAAAGATGAAAGTGTGTGCTTTTTGGCAGTGGTTTAAAATGACATGATGACAGCTTCTTAGGGTACTCATAATATTGTCTATGTGGTCTGCTCAGACAAAAAGCTCCTGGACCACATGTGAGAATCCACCAACACACCATTTTATTCAGTCAATAAATTCAGTCTTCAAAATGAACTTTTAAAAATTAGTTTCTCGTTGATTTTAAAAACAGCCATACTAAAAAATTATAACAACAACAACAACAACAACAAAAAAGCTGCATGGGATAGCAGTAGCTTACCATGATTAATCGCAAAGAACTGAGACACTTCGGGACAGGAGACGTTGACAACCTGTCCGACCTCTGCCCTGTACCAGCACCAAAAGTCATCCCACTCAGTACGACACCCTGAGATACACGGAAACAAATAAATAACTATTAAACAGACACATCAAATATTTGTCAAAGCATAATTACCTTAAAACTGTTCTGGAAGATGTTTAGTTATTATGAGAACGCTAGCTAGATAAATACAGATGGATGGATGGATAGGTAGATAGGTAGGTAGGTAGATAGGTAGGTAGGTAGGCAGGTAGATAGATAGGCAGATAGATAGATAGGCAGATAGATAGATAGATAGATAGATAGAAAGGTTTAGATAAGCTACAGTCTTCACGGGTGAGCATCTGTTTGAGGAATATAAGAGAACTGTGGAAACCGTAGCTGGATGAAGGAAGAAGACTTTGAGCATAATGAGAGCCACAGGGATCATATTTGGTCATGACTACATAAATATGACTGCGACAACTTAGCAACGGATCTTATTTCTGCTGCTCGCAGATCTATATCCTCAGTATATTATACACATGTACACTGCTGTTGTTATTGTTAACTAAACCTGTACCTATTAAATATTGTTTCCATTATTTCAAACAAAGTTGAAATAAAATAAATATAAATATTAGATTAAAACAACAACAACAACAACAACTAAATGTTGCCTTGGCAACTAACTGAAATATATCCAGTTTATTTACTAAAATCAAAACAAAAACTGAATTAAAAATAAATTAGCTGAAATTTCTGAATTTATTGGCTTAATGAAAACTTTTTAAACAAAATAAAACTATTAAAACAAACTAAAAAAATACTAATTTAAAATATGAATAAATTCTAAAATAGTATATAAATGACACTGAAATAGCCCTAACACCGACATACTGTATAAACACTGACAGACTTAAACTAAATAGGTATTTAATTGAAGAACAGATTCATCCTCACTGAAAAACTGTTGCTGATTCCCAGCAGTTCCACAATAATGTATATAAAGATTCCTGACAGAACTAAAGCCTGCTTCAGGTTTTCAAAGCATTTTCTGATTTAAACCAACTCTATCCACGCTTCTCCCAAACCTCTGTTCTGGAAGTGTGTACACTGCAAGTACAAATTAACTTGTACAGCTATCCAGTGATTTCCACTCACTTAATTGTAGGGGGCTCCAAAATCACAAACACACACAAAATAGAGTTGCTTTTAAAAGATTTTCTAATTTCAGTCTATTCTATTTTTACTCACTTGCCTCTTACAACTACTTATCTCTCTTTACTATATTCTCACTTTATGCATATAACAATAATAATAATGATGATAAGTTATTAAAATTATTTATTCATTGATCACATCCAAGTAGACCACAACAACACTTGACATTAACACCAGCCTTTGCAGTAATGGAGAAATATTTGCGAGAGAGATACGACTCAGCATATAAAGCGCTGGAAATCATAGAGAGAGCTGGAAAAGTATATGAGAACGAGTGTGAAACTCTCTGGCACACACAGACATTTATGGAAGCTTGGGCTGGTCCCCACAGGAACAGGAAAAACTTTGAAGGCCTGATGCCACCTCATTAATGTAAGCATTATTCAAAGCACTACTGGAGAAAAAAAAAAAAAAAGCTATGCATTTATTTTTTATGGCCAGGCCATCTGACTGCCTGTGTTGTCTTTGACAGGACAAGCAGAGATTTATCAAATAGGATTCATGAAATATAAACATTTTACTTAGACTTTTTGAGTACAATTGTAAAATGATTAAGTGCTTTTTTATTTTTATTTTGAAAAGCACATCTTCAATTTATATGTTGCAGAACGTTCTGGGCACCTATACTGTATATCTGAAGCTCTAACAGCTATGGATTGGATACATTAATGTCATCAATGTAACTGAATCAATCTTAACCCTGTGGCAGAACTGCAAATCAAAATAATCGCACACATAATTTAACCAAATTCACTAACTGCTTTAGGCTTAGAACTTAGTGACTGATAATGGCATTGAGCTCTCAGTAGTTCATTTCACTGAAATACGGCTAAATGGCTGTGCCTCCTATCGATGTGTATTCATTCAGTGAATTGACACGGACTCCAAGTAAAAACGTAATGCATTATAACTAATATGATATTATGTATTGATCCTGATATGAAATATGTTATTTTCCATGAACTCTCATATTCACTTTAATGTGATTCATAACTATTTATCATAAATCTCTCAGTTTTTTTTCTGTCTTTTATTCTCTTCCTCCAGTATCTTTTATAACTGCATTTGTCTTTAGGGACTCTTTATTTTATTATAAATAACGTATTAGGTTACTATAAATATGTACCAGCGTGCCATGATCTAACACCAAACATCTAATTCACCACTTAAACCCTAATAATAATACCCTAAAACAACAAAGCACATTAAAAATATTCCAACAATTCCAGTCCTGCTTGTTCACTGTCAGTTAAAGATAGATATTGCAGTTACAGTTTTATTGTTATGATCATTTTGAAATTAGTATTAAAAAAAACAATCAAAAAGTATTCCCAATTGCTCACAACAGCTTGACAGAATGATCATGAACATGGCCTTCTATTCGATATTGATAACATAAATACCCATTTTATTTTCACCATAGACAATGACGCCTCTCCAAGCGAGATGCATTGTGTAATGTGGCGTACAAGATGCAAGATGTAAAAGCTATCAGGATGAATAGAATCTAAGGGCTCCTCAATCACTTCCTGTAGATCTTGACATGTTATAAATAACAGAATTGTGGTCACTGATGATTTTTTTATTGCTTAATCTGTTGAGGGGCAGAAAGGTCCACACAATGGAGGACATATGTGATATCTGATTATCACTGATATTACAGTTACCTGAACTGGTCTTTCTATTTAGTTTTTCTCTCTACCATTTTCATGGTATAATTTTCTCATTATTTTATTATATCCTATTATTCTCACTTTAAGGCACTCACCTGAGGCATGAATGTGATAAATGACTCTAAAGTTAAATGAAATTATGTCATGACAATGCTAATGCTGACGGCACAGCAAGAAAGTGCACAGTCTGGCAAGACAGGGAAAATATTCAAAAAGTCCATTCTACACTTTTTATAGCCCTCTAAAACAAGTTGTGTACTTAAGAAATAATAATATGAAATAAAATATATAAAATGAAAAAAAAAAAAAGCAATTTAAATATTTGTTTAAAAATTTAAATCATTTATTTAATCAAAATACACAGATATGTTGAATGACCATCAACGGAAAATACACTTTTTTACACTTTTTAGAGAAATAAATATATATATACAAAAACAAAGTTTGGTATAAGACTGCATTTATTTGAAATACAATAAAAACAGTCATATTGAAAATTTTAATATATTTTAAAATTTATTTTTTTCCTGCGATGGGCCTGGCAAAGCCATTACTCCAGTCTTCAGTGTCACATACTACTTCAGAAATCATTCTAATGTGCTGAATCGGTGCTCAGCTATTATCAGTTATTATCAATTATTATTAATAAGGGGTGTAAACAGCAACCTTGTGTCATGCCCATATAATTTACTTCACAAGATCATACATTTCAGCTTACTGACTGCGTATTATCTTAGGACACTCGTTATGTTTTGCATTCTACATTTTTAAATGGTGTTTGCTCCACTAACTTGAAATAAAAAATGTATTTGTCTCATCAACATTTGTCATGCCCACAGAGGCTGCTTTCTAATTTGTACACTTTTACTTGCAGGTATGAAATGTTAATTAAAGTCTATGTGGATCAACAAGCAGAGCAATGTGGGTTTCCATTAAGAACTCAAGGGCAGAACTTACACCTGCAAAATTTTTTTTTTTGTATAGATTTTTTTACATTTTACCTTATTTGTATATTTGTATAGTTGTATTTTATACTTAATCTGTATTTATGTTCTACTGTTAGTGTTATCTGTATGCACCAAGGGTCTGAGAGTAACGCAATTTCAATTCTCTGTGTGTATGTGCTGTACATGTGGAAGAATTGACAATAAAGCAGACTTGACTTGACTTGACTTGAAACAGCGCTTGAGTCACCTCTTACTCTGCCAAAAAGAGTCTCATGAGAAACTAAAAGATACATGGTTGAGATTTCTGAAATATTATTTTGCTGCATTACAAAGACAGATCCTCTTTTATTTTTATTTACTGGAAAATTACTGGAAAAACATTCCCTATGCAGGAGCATCGATTTTCGGTTTGAAGGCACCTAAGCTGAAAAGGGTTTCATTTATGTTTAATAAACAAATCTGATTATTAAACAGCAATGAATATTCGTGTGCTTCAGCTTTCCTGCTGTTGTGATGTGTGTTTAAGATTTGAGAGCATTTGGGTGCTCTCCAAACCTGTCTATAGAAATAATTTCATTAGCTTACTAAAGGTGGTACAGAGGTCACCACTGAATTCATGGAAAACAATATACTACTCTGGGGAAGTCTTCAAAGAAGTCCATATAGAGCAACTCATATGTTAACAAAGTGGTGAAAAGGCCTCAGTTCAGAAATGGAATACATATTCCTTGTACTCTTTTGTTCAACAGTTTTGTTCAACAATGGGCGGTTCAAAGAATCAAGAGGTACATTTAATATAAGGTTTTACATGGGCATTTTCATACAAAGATCCTGCCTTTTTGGGTATTGAGATGTCATCTCCTTTTAAATTGGAGAGGACTGAGATGACTTTTTACCAAGGTTGTGTCTTATAGAAGATAAAACAAAAATTCCTCCAATTAGAATTAATAATTTCTCCACTGTAAATTATAGGGACATTTATAGGGAAAGTGTTATCAAATGTGAATTGAAAATCCAAACATTTAGAAACTTGGAAGAACTTTGTTGAGAATATTAATTTAAAAATTGTATTGTGTTTTATTTCTATCTATCTATCTATCTATCTATCTATCTATCTATCTTGTTTATTTATACTGTTATTTGTCTAACTTTGTAAAAATTGTATTGTATTTTATGTGTCTAACATTACTATACTACACACACACACGCACACACACATATATATTATATTATTATTATTTTTTTTTATACATAAAGTGCTTTACAGATTATATAGAAAACAAGACAAATAATCAATCTCCCTCAAAACAAATATTACGTTTAATGCATCTTAAAACCTTAGTAAACAGAATCATGCCTTAAACATTATGCTTCATTATCCTTTGATCACTCACTGACAATAAAAAGTCACAAAGTCACAATGCAAGGAGTTGTATTGATCCTCACCCTTCATCAGCAGCCAGAATCGAACAGCTTCTGTTTGAATAACTGCCTTTAATCTCCTAAATCTCTACACATGATTGCATCCTTTAAATACCTTGCCTGACCTGGCCTATATAGGAAAGTGTAATGCTTAAAACTGTAAACCTAGTTTTCAGCCCGCCAGTCAATCATAAACACTCTCAGTCTGAGAATCATTTTCATCATGAATATCTCGAAAAATCACATTCATCTCAACAAATGTCCTATTACCAATCAGCAAATGAGTAGACATTAAGGACATAAAAAGATGTAAAGTAGTAAGGATTATATTAAATCAGATGGGTGAGCTCACCGGTGATATTGTTGCTGTTGCGGGCCTCTTGTCTTTGAGTGTGAATGCATTGCTCTCGAGCCCTCATATGCTCAGCCACCACAGCACATTCTGGATGAATCGTTTCCACCTGATGATGTTTAAAAAAATGTATGAAGCAAATGAAATTACAAACTGCAGCACATACAGTATTAAGAACCTGCATAAACATGCTGAGCTCATTAGAAAAAGCTAATTAAAGAGCAATTTCACAATTTCGGTCACTTGCCATTAAGTCGAAATGACAATCAGGAACAATTATGACATTTCAAATATTATTTGCTAACAGCTTGAACATTCATTTAACTACATTTGTGTTCCACAGAAGAAAGATCACATGGGTTTTGAAAAGGTAAAAGGGTGCTGAATAGTTATTTTGGGGGTTAACACATTCAAATACATTGTATATCTATTTACAGGATCTAAATATTTATCATATTGAGACTTAGAATCATCTCGTCAAGAAACCCTAGCCACACAGCAAAATTGGTATGTAAAGTCTCATTATCTCTAAAGCAGCCATTGAACCAATTTGAGCCTCTCTTGCCATCATTTACTATAATTAAATGTATTAGAGATAGAAAGAGCAATAAAGAGAGAATAAACATATAACAAAATGTGTGGGATGCTGTCTCATCGACAACATAAAAAGGAAAAGTTGCTTCTGTTTCACCTCTTTGCTGCATAAAAAGACCTGTAATGGCCGCCCACTTATTCCTGAGAGGAATGAGAGAGAGTCAGAGGTGGGTGAATGCTTATGATCCGATTAAGCCTGAGGTTACGGTGGAATGAGCAGTAGAAACAGATTCAGAAGTTCCTGAAACAGACCTACGTACCTCCAAAGGAAAACAGAAATGATGAATCATAACAATACTAGAAAAAAAGTGAATTGTTGTATTTATTCTAGAGGGATGCATCAGGGGTCTGTGTGTCATATCGTGTAAATCGAATAAATAGTATGACGTCAGCATGGAAATCAAGGATAAACATTCCAGCTATGTTGATTATTATTCATCCATTGGTGAAGGACGCGTTTATGTCCCCTTCACTGAGCTAATAGGCAGAAATCTGAATCTTCAGGGCAGACAACTGATTTCAAATACCTAGCCTAAAACACCCATTTTAGCAAATGGCTGCTATATAACAAAGAGTGAAAAATTGAAGGGGGTCTGAATACTTTCCGTACCCACTGTATGTCCCCTTCACTGAGCTAATAGGCAGAAATCTGAATCTTCAGGGCAGACAACTGATTTCAAATACCTAGCCTAAAACACCCATCTAATAAAGCAGAAACTAATCATTTAAATAATAACTGGGTGCTGTTAACCTGCTGTATTTTAAAGAATGTTACTGATTGACACTTTGAATGGACAAATATCCATGGCTGTGCATGTATCTGTGCACCACCAAAACACTGCTGTTTTGGTCTAGATTTTTCTATATAACCTCTAACCAATGTACACAATGTAAAAATGTAAAATTTTGATGAATGTACATTGTAATAGTAAATTTATTCAACAATGAATGAAATGTAAAAATCTAAGTAATCCATTCGACTCTTGCAAAATATAAGTCATTAGAAGGCACACTGAACAAACATTCAAACTTGTCAAAGTGGCCCAGTTGGTCACAAGATATATGAGAGTCAATGGAGTTTGATGTTATTAACATCAAACCTGGTGGCAGGTTTTGAGTCTGTGAATGAGATTTGAACATTATTTCAGAAAGGAACCTTTCATATGGCTTTGTAATTTGTGGAATGCAGTATGGACACATTAGTATGGACTTTTTATAAAGCTTTTGTTATTTTGGATCCTTTTGTGTTCAGTGGACGACAGAAGACTGGGTTTCAACAAACAAGAGGGTAAGTAAATGATAAGCCCTAAAAGTTTATTGTTGGCTAATCATAAACCCAATAAAAAAAAAGGTAAATAAATCGATTACTCCGAAATGAGCTGAATACGGCACCATTTTTGGTGATACAAGATAAAAATAGCTACAGAATGAGATTTGTTTAGATGTATTGCTCAGATACAACCAGAAAATGATCATTTGAATGTTTACAATTTAAAATGATACTTTTCATTTGCATTCTATAAAAATATCATTTGGATAAAAATAGTACATGGTAAAACTGGACTTTTGGTAGTTAGGGAATAAGATGCAGGTTTTTGAATTGAAACACCACACAGTAAAGTGACAACTGTTTAGTCAATTCTCTCATAAGAGTTCATTTCATTTTAAAACAGATGCACATTGTGTCTTCAAGTTTGCATTTGTGTGTGTGAATATTCAAAAGATTGATGGAGATTTGTGTGGGAAAATTAGGCAAGACAAACTGCTGCGGTTATTTAAAAATGTTACACCGCTGAATGCATAATAACCTCTTTTCTTATATTTACGTTGCATGTAATCAGCATATTAAACCCAACCAGAGACTACAAATCTCCCTGGCATTTTCTCAAGCCAAGGCCAAGGCTCAACTTGGACATATAGAAACTCTGAGTGGAATAGTGAAGAGAAAAGACCTCGATGCATCACTCCAACAAATTTCATTTGAGCCACAGAACTTAGAGTTGCATTCAGAGTCACCAGGGTGGGTAAGAGAGAAGAGAAGTGCAGAGAAAAAAAAAAAGCAGTTGTATCCTACTAGCACTGGTGACACACCTGGACAATAAAGCACTTGGTTTCAATTAAACAATCCACGGGATTTGACTGCTCCCATGTGGCACTAAAGGTCCCCAAAAGGTCAAGTCTCTTATCTCAGCAAAACCAATTATGGCACATCTGCTGATAAAGGGTGTTCAAGGCCACTTTCATATGTCTCCCCACAAATTTGCACTATAAAATGTATCATTGGCCCAAAAATGATACAGCAGTGTGCTAAAAGTCCCTTTATGGCTACATATCTAAATATCTCAAACAGATAAGTAAATAGACACCTGTTGTCTTGAATCACTCTAACCTGAAATGCTCTGGTGACCTGATCAGAAAAGTTAGGTCAAATGAAGAAGAAAAATAACTGACTGATAAGGATCCTGTTATTAGTCAGATAGCATCCAGTGGCCCTGAGGAAGAGGCTCATGAACACATGGAATCATTATTATAGGAAATGAACCTCCATTCAGGAAAGGAAAGCCATATCGTTAGAGGGAGTACCAAACAACAACTACATTTAATTACAACATTGATTTGTGCTCTTCTTGTGGAGCCTGTGCTCCTCAGAAATTGGAATGATGATCCACCTTTGCATTCGCTTAACACAAAGGTTTGGTAAACCTGGACAGGCCAGTTATTCACATGAATTGCACGCTTAATTTTCATGACAGGAACCTAATTTTGCTGCTCAGGTTAAATCATGACAGTGTTCCTGTACTGGAAATGGTCATCAAAACATCATTAAAAGGAGGCCAGGATCTCAGGTCAGTACTGCTAATCAAATCAACATCTGACACATCAGCACATTAAATATAGCACTGGACTGATCCCTAGAGGACACAGTGGCAATCAAACGGCATTGATTATACTTCATCTACATCATTAGCTTAGTATGATGCCTTTTAAAAAATGTTTTGCTGATATCTGTGTTTATTCTCTCTCATGAGCATCTCACCTAAATCTGGAGGCAGTGCTATTATGAAAACTTTTAACTGCGATTTGTCTCTTAAACAGCATACACTATACATTTTCTAAGTCAGTGGTGCAGTGCAATGCCTTTTAAAATAAATATGTAAATCTCTCTCAAGAAAACCACACCTGAATCTGGATGAAAATGTTAATACACTTTGATGTCAGGGCCATTATAAAACACTTTTAACTTGTATGATGTGTCATTCAAACAGCACATATCTCTCAAGGAAATCTCACCTGATTCTGGAAGCAAATGCTAATATTTACAATGAAATGCTTTAGGAAGTCAACATATTCCTTTGGTTTGAAATGCTATACTCAATTATAAACAGTATTTGTTAATTATTTAATAGTTATGTATGTAGTGTAACTATGATACCATATAGATATTTGTACTTTTAAAAATTAATTTGTCATACAAAAGATTATTAAAAATAGTGATAATGTTGACTGCTTAGATTGTAACATTAAATACATGAATATATATTTTAACCTACAATGCGTTTAATTTAAATAAGTAAATAAATAAATAATCAATCAATCCATGGACATGTTCTACAACTAGCCTAACAATTTTTAATTTCAGGGACATAATAAAACGTTTAACCTTTATCATTCCACTTCTTACATCATGAAGTATTTTTATATATTTTTTTTTTCCCATCCTACAGCCCACAACAGTAGCCACTGGCTACACTGCAACTGATCAGAAAATCCTAAAACTCGTGACAGAAATCATGAAAATAATAAATGTTAAGAGCATAGGATGTCGCATAGATAACTTACTGCTTTCCAGGTGCTCTGCTGAATCCCCAAACTGAGTAAGACGGCGACCAGTCTTACAGTTGACCAGGTTTTGAAGAGAAACATAATTAAGATTCCGGTATAATAAGAAAGAATGAAGCTTGTTAGTGTATAACTAAATAACGCAGGAGCCTCTGTTAGATCTTTGGATGTTTTCCAGAAGTCTCGATGTCTCCAACCATACTGCTCGCTGCTGTTCAGCACAAATGCTCAGTCCTACATAATATCTTCTGAAGCTCGTAATATTTGTAATTGAATCATGTGTCTCTTCCTCATAACAGACCGTAAACAACCTGTCGCTGTGAGTTCCCAGCACACAACGGGCAGGAGAGTGGCGCGCGGAGAAATGAAGGCACGGTGCGCCTCCCCCAAAATGCCAGTGACTTCACTCATTAGATAAACTCTGATTTCAATTCATGTGATTATTAAAACTGTTTGAGAAAAATCAAACAAAATAGCCAAACTGGTCGCGAGAGAATGGGACGCCAAGCGTAGAGGCTTACGGTTAAATCCATGAACTCCTGAAATACAAAAAATAGTGAAATATTATTGTTTATATTATTAAATATGTTTAATTTTGCAAGTTACTAATGGTTTTCCAGCTCCTATCATTTAGGCTAATGCTGCTAAACATGCTGTACAGACATAAACGTTAACAATTTGTTTTGATAACTTTATAATAAAAAAGGTGGAGAAATATCTGTTATATAGTAGCTACGGTGTAATATAGGCCTATGTATAATACTTTTTTCAACAATCACTAGGACCCATTTCTCAACACTTAGGTCTTAAGTCACTGTATCAAAACTCTTACAGGCGTACCATCTTTCTGGGCACAGCAGTAAATTTCACTTCCAGAAGCTATTAAAACTTCTAAAACACTTCAAACATGTCTAAGATTACAATTATCTAAATTCATGAACAGTATGGCGGAAATTCTATGCCATTAATAACCGAGCGCACCACTGATGCTGGCGCGCGGGGTAAATCAATTCCGCGAGAGGAAAACAGATTTACACGCAAGGAAACGGGAGCCCGCGAGCTCATTTCAAACCCTCGCGCGCGCGTGACGTCCTCTGCGCGCAATACAAGCCCTCGCGTGTGCATGATCATTCCCCACATCCTCGCGCTCGATCTTCCCTCACCTGCGAAAAGAGGAATAACCAATGACATTTGAGGTTACAATTAAAACAGCAAGCTCCGCCCCACGACTGACAAAAATAAAAGTGTTCGCGCGAGCAGGTGAGGGAAGATCGAGCGCGAGGATGTGGGGAATGATAATGCGCACGCGAGGGCTTGTATTGCGCGCAGAGGACGTCACGCGCGCGTGAGGTTTTTGAAATGAGCTCGCGGGCTCCCGTTTTCTCGCGTGTAAATCTGTTTTCCTCTCGCGGAATTGATTTACCCCGCGCGCCAGCATCAGTGGTGCGCTCGGGTATTAATGGCATAGAACTGCCGCCATAGGAACAGCATGAAGAGTGACCAAATGAGAGCACAAATTCATAACAAAAGCTCAGGTTGGATCTTTTTTGTATTGTGAGGAGGAACAAGAAATATGAAAGATGAGCCCTTCACCTTATCTCAGTAATTGGTCATTGAATTATATAATATCATATTGTGATAAATTATGCATGCCTCTCACAGTTTTATTACTAATGATGGTCCCTATTTTCCCTCCGTACCCAAATTATATTTCTTTTCAGTTATCAGGTGTTTTTATTGCCCTCATTTAGGTTTTTTAAATTTCATTGTCTGAATGGTGATTTTCTTATTTGAATGGTCATTCTTCATATTTAATGAACAACGGGGACTATTACAATTAAACTTATGGTCACAATTGAGCATCTGTGTTGCTTACCCAGTTAACATTAAACTCTACTATACCTATTTCCCGTAGCTGATTATTGAATAGTGATGTTTGATTCTTCTTCTTCTGTGTTACGGTGGGTTGCACCAGCGTTAAGGTGCATTATCGCCAGCTTCAGTGTTGGAGTGTGGACCAAACTGTGATGTCACTGTGATCATCGCATGATCTCATGTGTTGACTGGGTAGGCTGTCCCTTAGTGAAAATACAATTTGCATATGTATTTGATGTTTTTATCCGGCTAGGGAAAATATTTTCTTAGCTGGACAGCAGACCCCCATTGCTTCCAGCTGCCTTGTTGTCATGCTGAGAGAAGGAATGAGAGAATTAGTTTTATGGACAGATCGTCATAAACATTCATTTCCACGACAGCTGTCTTCAAAAGAATCCTGATTTAAACATACTGACCAATAAGACTGTGTGGTAAACAATCACTGTGCTGTGTGATAAACATTCTGTGACTGATGGCCAGATTCAATTTCCAAACTATTCCATAGAAAAACAGAGCATTTTTCTCTTTCCCAATTTCACTCTTACCCATTTGTTCTCTATATAGCAAACAACAAAAACATCTCACTCAGAAGAAGAGAAAAAAAATTCTGAGTCATCAGAAGATTCCATATAAACACAAAGGTATTGACATTTCAAAAAGTGTAGAGGAATGAAAAAATATGTTTTTTGGGGACGCTGAATTAGTTTTAATACATTACAGTATACCCTAAATTCCAATTCAGCAAATGAAATGATATATATTACCTGGTGATTTGAATAATTATCAGATAGTAAAGTTAATATTTGTGCAGTCTTGGTTACCCAACCCACAATAACATCTCGGTTACATATGGTAACCCTCGTTCCCTGAAGGGGGGAACGGAGACGTCACATCGGATGACCGACGAATTGGGGATCTCGCTTAGAGAGACCAATCTAATTCGAGTGTAAACTAAACGAGCCAATGCACATTGACATGCGATTATTGCATCCAGCTGCCGCTGATCACAGCGTGAGTATAAGTAGGCAGCAGATGCAGCGCATATTCAGGTTTTCGCTGAGGAACCGAGCCGGTGACCCGGCCGCTCAGCAGTGGTACAGGAGCTGTGGTGACGGGACGTGACGTCTCCGTTCCCTCCTTCAGGGAACGAGGGTTACCATATGTAACCGAGACATTCCCTTTCAGTTGGTCACTCCCGATGTTACGTCGGATGACCGACGAATTGGGATCCCTAACAAAGGGCAACAGGTACTGCCCCTTCCAGTGTCCCGTGGAAGCCACCTGCGCCCCTACTTTTTGGCGTAGGCCAGGGCTTACCACAAGAGGACCAGCTACTGCTGCTATGGCA